CCCCCCCCCCCCCCCCCCCAAGACAATGTAACGTGTGTCATATATATAAAGAGAGAGGTTTTTTATATTATTAAACGGAAATGCTTCAAACTTAATGATCTACTTTTCTTCTAATAATGAAATAAGAAATCAAGAGAAAAAAGATAAGTAGCATCTCAAATGGTGAGTCAACAAAATGACTCAGACGTGATTTGGTGTTTGTTGTAAATCTAAATTCCAATCAAAACCACCCAGATCTTTTCATGTGGAAAATATCTAAAAACTTGTAAGATTTGAGTGATGAAGTTGTTCTGTAAATAAAATATGAGACACAAAGGATCCTCCAGAGCTTCACCAGCACCACTTAAGGGTCGTTAGAGGCCAGTGTTTAAAGAAATATCACCGGCAAATGTCATCAGAGCACTGACTTAAAAAGGCTGCTTTTGGATTAGACAAGAATAAATGGATCTACATATACTTATCATAACAATTAACCTGTCGCTGTCATTTAATGTTCACGAACACCCTAGCCATATTTGTAATTTGCTAAATATGTCTTTTAGCTGTGTAAATATCTAAGAAATGTAAATTCATTATGCAAACAAAACCCAATCTGCTTCTATTATACACCATGACCACGCCCACTTAGGAGACAGGAAGTGTGTACCATTTCAACTAATAGAAGATAAAACGAAGGACAACAGTACAGCAAGAAGAAACTTTTTTTACCTTCAGAAAAAAAGAGACCCCCTGTTCGTCCAGCGACAGCAGCATAATAAAACTCAATCAGGTTTACTCTGTCCCGTAAGCTTCTTTGAGGAAGCTCGTCTTAAAGTTTGGTGCAACATAATTTATATAGTTTATTTAAGTTATACCACAATTAAATCAGGTTTAAAACTTAATGCTAAGACAAAAATAAGACCAAAAGGTTGTGATATACAGTTGTCTGAACCATCCCTCTGTGATAACTAGCAGGGAGGAAAGAACAAACTTAATTCAGCTAAATAGTTGGCAGTGGTTCAGATCTGCGTGGCAGGGGTGAATTAACTTACAGTCACATATCATCGGGCCTCATCTCACACCTCACTGAGCATATGCAGATGAGATCGAACTTAGATCATGAGGGGCCATCAGCAGCCTGACAGTTGGCTGGACATAATGCTCGGTTATTATTTCTCTTTATGGCATGCTGGGAGGGGAGATCAATAAGTGGAGACACAGTGGTAGCCTCTCGCTGCAGTAGGTTGACACTTCATATCAGGTTTTAGTGTCGGCTACTCCAATAATACTGAGCATATCTTTTCTTTCGAAGACAGTTCTCTGCATGAAGTGAGCTTTCAAGTTAATGAAAATGTTGGATGTCGCCACTGAAGCCCAGCAGTTCATCACATTTGGTGTTGGGCCTTTGATGGATGTGTGCTATGCATTATGTTTGTTGCTCGCCTCCACAGTTTGTCATTGAGTTGTGGCCACTGGCTTTTAATCTACCGAGATATAAACTACTGTGATACAGGGGACACTTTTTGATACTAAAAAAAAGTGGGCATAGCTGGCAAGCTGTTGCGTCTTGCACAGGAGATTGAGGGCAACAATGTTTCAACATTGTCATTAAATAAGCAATGAACTATGAAAACATCTTATATGGAGATAATTGCAGGTGGGTTTTCAAATCTCGCTTGTCAGGGATCCAAACAGTGTCGCCTGTTTGATGGCAGTCAGTTGGCATGTGACACCTGGGCGACGCCTCCATCGGTCCCTTTTTTTCTGTCAATGCTCTCCACCTTGGCAAGCCAATGTTGATGGTAACTCTGTTTATTCCTCGCTCTGCCTTCTTGTGAATGCCAAATGTGCTCTTGTTTTTGAAGTTTCATTGTTTGTAGCCATCGCTCATCTTTCCTTTGTTTGTTCGGTCATAGTAACTCTTTACTGAGAAGTAAATGAAATCATTAGTAGTTTCTGATATTGTATACATCCGAAACTAAATGGAAAGTTCTCAGTTCAGTTCTGAAACATCTCGCATCCTATGACAGGATACAGAGACTATTTGAATGTAAGGTCAATCATTTAAATAGAAATGTTAATGAAATCATTGTTATTTAATGCAAATGTCTTTCAAACTACACAACCCTGAAGTCTTCTGACCCAACCACATGTAGCAAACTTTGTACAACTCCCTATGGAGCCCCAAGAGGCTTTAGATAACTTTCACATAGTACTCCCCTTTAAGATCTGAAATATCGGCATCAGTATTTGCCTTTAAAAGGCGGGCTCTAGTAGAGAACGCCGCTGTGTTTCAGTGTCGTGTTGTTGGTGTGAGGAAGGTGCTACCTGGAGAAGTGCTGCTGCAGTGACACCATCTGCCGCCCACCCTGCTGAGACTTAGCCCTCTCCCTTCTCTCCACGCCCAGATGTTGTTTGTTCTCCAGCTGGGGATTATTATTATGGATCAGTCTTGGTGGCGTAGCTGCAGGGGAGAGGAGTAAACACAGTAAATTTGTTGTTAATCTTGCATATTATAATCCCACTGACGATTTCAAAGATACAGACAGTACATCTGTTCATTTCCCTTTCCCTCTTACATCTATGTTTTAAAAAAAAGTTTGGAAAAGAGCAGGACCTGTGCAGAGCATCTCCTTCCTCTCTCCACCTCACACACTAGTTTTGAATTAGTGTCGACATACGGGTTTACCCCACAACTGACAGGTTAGGCGAACTCCCTTCTCTCGACTCACATTTAAACAGGGCCTTGGGGTAAACTGTCATTTTGGAACCAAATACCTGTATATATATTTTAAAAATGAAGAAATCAAGGATGTCATCATACTGCTAACGGTAGCAAAAGTTCTGGTGTTGTTCATATTATAATTACCATATTGCCTTATGGCTAGTCCTTTGGGTGTTTACCTGTCTGAATATTACTCAGCTGAAAAACAGTTGTGACACAAAAGAATATTGGTGTTTCAGTGGTCTGTTCTCGTTCTTCTGCTGAGAGTAAATGTGAATTGAGCAAACCATATTTGTGTCAATCAGCTGCACATAATGACCCTGATAAACCTGCATCGCTATAGTAGGGAGTTTTCATTGTATCTCTATGAATTACTCTGTGCTTGTTAAATCCTTGCTTTGCATCAACTTAATGGGAATTTACACGTAGTGTCACTCTGTGGAGGGATATGAAGAGGTCAGCAGAATTGCACATCAAAATGAAAATGGTTGCCGGTCTGTTTCAGAAATAATCAGTCAGCTGTGGCGCAAGTTTTTAGCCACAGGGTTTGTGACTCAGTGAATCAGTAACTCCACCATGCAGGGCTTCAGTACAGGAAGAAAATAAAGAATTATTTATTGTACTTTAATAGATTTTTGAAATAGATTAATCTCAATTCACACTATAATGAATGAATATAATGTGTATGATTTCAATCTTGTGTCAGATTGATTATACATCTACATCAGCTAGTACGACTGTAACTGCTGTCACCAACCCTCTACACTTTTGTCACAGCAGACATTTTGTCACAACAGGAAAAGCACAGGTGCATCTAACATTAACAAAGCATGGCTCAGTTCCTTCGTGTCCTAGAAAGCTATACAAGTGAGCAACATGCACAATGCCAGAATCCTAGAATTAATAAAACAAAATATCAAAAATAGCCAGTATTAATGGTAATAATTACATGTGCTGTTGATGATACACACACATCAGAATGGTTGCTTTGTAAAAGGTCTATACAACTGCTATGATTACTAGTATTGCTGCTACTATTGTGACCAGAATGCTGAATGAATGCTAAGGAAAAATAATCTACACATGTGAACTAGCCACATACATATAGCAGGGTTGCCGAAACTGAAACAATCCTTTACAGAATTAACAGTCAACCTGTCCACCCTGAACATGGATCAGGGTCATTCAATTAGTCATTGGAAGTATTAAATAATCAGTCCGATTTACATATATTTTTCTTTCTTTTTGAGAATGAATTCCATCAGATTTTCCCTCATTTGTCTGTCCTTCGTCCCAGAAGAGCATGTAAACACAGTGAAGAATAGCTGGTGTACTCCAACAATTGTTTGAGTATTTTCATTCTTTTCATGCAAAGGGAAGGTCAAATCTAAAAAAGCAAAGGCAAAATTTGAGGGACCTGACACACATGTGAACCCTGAATCTGCACTGCCATCTAGTGATGTTTGCAGATTACTGCAGGATCACTGCACAGTCTCAACATAAATCATTTCAATGTTCATCCACCTGTTGTCCCCTCCTGCTTTGAATCCTGAGGACCTAACAAAGAGAGCAGTCAAATAGTTCACATGTTCACAAATAGTTCACATGTTCTTGCTAAGAAAAAAAGCCTGTTCACAGTTTTTTTTTCATTGTCTCACGAAGTAGCTAACTGAAGCCTTTTTTTTTTTTGCATGTTGCTGCTGTTTTGTTGTAAATATAGGTTTCAAGCACATGAAAAGGCATTTTACTTCATTTTGCATCGTCATAGCAGGAACAGCACAGGTGAAATTACTAATGATAATGATTTATATTTTCAATTCCAGGTTCAGTGTACATTTGGGCTCACTGTCTTTGCTTACTGGGACACTTAATGCAATGGAGCCTTCGTTTAAGTTATAAGTTACACCTGTGTTTTGTCTGCCATAACAAGTGTGCTGTAAAACAGGACCATATGACTGAAGCTGTTAAGCCACATTGTTAATTAAGTTACCTATAATGCCCAAATGCTTTTTCCACCTTGTTCTGAGAAAAGTCATCTTCCAGTCGACAGCACACAGTATAGTCTCCTAATGAAATTGCCAAAAGTAGTAGTAGTAATGGTAGTAGTAGTAGTAGTAGTAGTAGTAGTAGTAGCGGCGCTTTATTTCAGTTCCTATTAATAATTTTCTAAAAAGAATGCACGTATAAATAAATAACAATACGGCAATACATTTAAGGGAAAACCAAAAACTATTGACCAAACAGCTGTAGGCTGAAGCTTAAGCTCATTCTACCCGTTTTACAACATGCAGCCCTTACACGTCTAGGTTTAGTCTACAATCAAAACAAAGTTCCAAACGTTCCATGCACAATAATAATCATGACTTTATTCCACAACCACCCCAAGATATAAATATATTCTTTAATATTTGGCCGATTACATATTTCCTATTCCCCTAAATAAATAATTTTCTCATTTCAAACAACCTCTGAAAAGAGAATAGCATGCAAGTTAATAAATAATGCGTTGGTTGGTTTGTTGGTTTCTGTAGCATGAGAATTTGATTACTGTTGGTTTTGTGCGTGTTTACCTCCGCACGGTAGTGTATTGTATGGAACTCTGATAGCACAAGAGTATATATAGTAAGTTCTGATTTAAGGTATCTTTGGTTTTATATTGGAACGGTTTTGGAGATATTTTGTTTTTACGTTATTTATGTAATGCTCAAGCCATAACTTTTCAAGTATGTGTTGTCCCAATAGTTGGCCAGTAGATGGAGTTCTTCATTCATTTTCCTCACTAGTCTTTCACCATCTGAATTTACCGCCTGCCTCCTCGTATGTTTGTCTGTTCTCCTTACAGCCACACTGTAACAGAGGAAACAGGAGAAGTTACACCTGCCTGCCTGCCAGCCAGATTACACCTCAAATCAGAGGTGTTGGTATATTTAGCTGAGTCACATGTCGCCTTTAAATGAGTCGTGTGACACTCTTTTCAGAAATCATACATTTATTTATTCACCCTTCACACCTGTTAAACAAAATTGATCCACTGTTTCCAATTTGTCCAACAAATCCAAAGTCAGAATGTACAAATTTAATGACAAAGAAAATGTCTAATTAAAAAAGTTTTTCCTCAAAGACGTATTATTCTCGGTTAGAAAATGATTTGTAATAAAACAAATTGCTCATTTTGTACAGTGACTCATTAAAGAGTGGGTGTCTCATTTCTCAAATAGCAGATACATCATTAAGAAATGAAACACTTCAAATATACCCACGGTGTCACTGGGGATGTATGAGAATGTCAAGACATTCACACTGTTTCAGTAAAATAACTAAACTACTGTAAACACACAGCATTATGTGCCAATGCCACTGAGGGAGTCCATTCTTAGACTTCATCCTCTATTAATAAACAGTGACACGCTGTTCTTTGGACAAGATCTCACCAGTGTACTAATTTAACAATTAACAACAGAGGTCCATTTAGTTTATCACAGTGGTAGGTTTCATTCATTCATACATCTCAACTGGGTAAAGACTTAGAGATATAAAAAATAAAGGATTTTGTCTATGAATCAGATAATAGATAAGAGTATTCACATAAGAAGATGACAGTCTATAAATACTATACAATATTGTGCATACATAAAGTATATTAATGTGTAACAATGCATGTTAGTTGTCAAATTAATGTAGTGTAGCAAGAAATGTAATATTTCCCTGGATGAAGTCGAGTAGAAGCCCAAAGTAGCGCAAAATGGATCGGCCTACCTCAAAAATAAAGTACAGGCTCTTTTCAGCATCTCGATATAGATGATGAAGCAACTTGAGACAGCGCAAGCAAATTGACAAAAGAAAAGCAAGTGAAGAAAACATTTTTGCCACTGATAACACACAAAAAATAACAATTTAAACACAAGAAAACTGAGAAACAGATTCACCAATTTTGACAATGCATACGCAGCATTAAGAGACACGCTGGAAACACAGAAACCACAAGCAAATACAGCTAGAGACCATCTTTTGATGTGATCACACCAACCGCGACACCGAATTAGACCAGCTCTGACCACACCCATCTTTGAGGTCAGCCTTCATTTTGGTCTCAACACCTGTAATATTTTGTGACTGCATCCTGCACAGGTGCGACGCTATTGTCCGTGACAGAATCTGTCCACAGGCAGACAGACATATAAACACCTGGTAAAGTACTCGATGACACACACAGACTCAGAAGGTGAAAATAATGCCTGGCTTGCTGTCCCTGCTGGTAAAAATACCATCAGAAGTTTCCTGGGGAAACAAAAAAATATTATTTTTCTGTTCAAGCGTCTCAGTAAATCATGACTGTGTGACAATGAGTCAGCATGAACAATACCAAGACCCTGAAACTGAAGCAGCTTAGTGGAGTTCAGCCAGCATTAATTTTATTCTCTATGCCTGTAGAGCATGCCTGTGCTTTACTGTGACGTGTGAAAATGTCTACCTTTAAAGAGCAATACTACTAGAAGGCTAACGCTAGGCCATTATATCCAATTCAATTTGAATCCCATATTCAGACTGTTAGTCAGTGAGTTTTTAGAGCTCTTTTTGATGAATTCAGCTGCGTTCTCCACTTCTAGTTGGCTTGTGTTTTTGTTCTTGTAAATACTTGTACCTTGAGCTCTCTCAGGCTCTGTGTTATACCTTTGAAGACAGGTTCTTCTATATTTGGACCTTCTCAATTATTTATTCATAAAGAGAGGGAGAACATA